AAAAAAAAAAAAAAAAGATTAAAAAATAAAAGAATCCATAAGGTATTTTCAGGAATCGTTTGATTTTTAAAAATCAAAGAAAACTCAAAGTAGCAAGACTGTCAACAATGAACTTACTTATGTCTAAATCTCCCTGGCCAAAGATCTCCCAGAATTGCAGCTCTCCTAGTAGCTGTGGTGGAGAGGCAGCCAGGCAGGCAGCCCAGGGAACTGCTCATTCTTGCTTACCTGGCCTTGCTTCCAACACTCCCGGAAGATCTTCCAATTGTTTTTGTTGCTGGGGTCATGGAGACACAGAAGTCTCCCATCACAGAGCCAGGAGTGAGAGGTATGGGGGTCCAGCACATTTAATCCCATCACCATCTCCTTCACCTCCTTTTGGGTATCAGTCAAGTTGCAGGCCCGCTTTGCGGCGTCTGAGGTTTTCTTATTTTCTACCACTGAGGCAATGATGTGGTCAAGGAAGTTGGGCAGACTGGCCTTGTTCTTCACTCCCTGCCAGACACAAATCCAGTAAGTAAGTCTGACTGCGGCAGCATAAGAGCATTCAAACATTTGTCTAACAGTTGGATTCACAAGAAGGCGTTCTGATCTACCTGATTAGATTTCAGAAGAGTCAAAGTCTTTTGTAATTGGAGGGGGGAACCCATTAAATCAGTATCTTAAATTTCCCTATCCTTCGTATTTGCTTTACATTAATGAAAGAAAAGTACAGAAAGATCCCCTCTGCCTCAAGAGATTTGACAGCTAAGAAATACCTTTGCATTCAGCCCTTAATCTGTATTAAGTATTTGCATGTAGATCAGAGGAATCACAAAACACGGTAACTGAGTGAAAATGATCATTTACTTGGAGGGTTATCAACTTTTTTCTGGCTGCAGTGCCCATGGGCCACAATACTTGGGCCTTAGTAAAATTGATAATCTTGCTATGTCTGAAGTGTTACTATTATCTCTATAGAGTACCTATAATCATAAAACCTGGGAAAATTTAAAAATAAAAATAAAAACTGGGGCTCGGAGCAACTATAAAAAATAAACAGAGCCAAAGTAATTTCTTTATAGTCACTTATCCAAGAGAGACAAATAACCCACAGTGTACAAGGCTCAGCCACCCACAGCTCATCAAATTTCAGCCGTTAATCATAAAATAGAATAAGAAACATGCTTATGTACTTGTTTGAAATGATCTTCAAGATATACAAACTGAAAACAGAAAAATACTGTGTGGGACATTTGTGTAAAAAGGGGGGGAAAAGCTACCTACATATGATAATATCACTGAAAGGACACTCATGAAATAATAGCGACCCCCAGAAAGGGAAACAGGTGGCTGGGAGACACCGGGGGAAGGAGATTTTTCACTGTATCTTTAAAAATGCGTAGCTTGTGAATTCACTTGTTCAGTTAATGCTTACTAAGCACCTACTATGTATCAAACTCTGGCACTAGGGATACAGTGGTGAATCAGTCAAAAATGCCTTTAAGGAGAGGCGAGCACGCAATAAATAAAACACACAGTAAGTCAAATGGTAGTAAGTGCTACGGTAAAATAGTAAGTGTAGAGAAAACAGATATGAGTGGAGGATGGGGGTGGGATGGGCTTTTTAATAGGTGATCTAAGAAGAAGCCTTACTGAGGAGGAGACATTTTGGGAGACAGGAGAGGAAGCTGATGACCCAAGTCATGTGGTTACCCAAGAAAGCTCTAGGTGGGGAAAGGACAAGTGCAAAGTCTCTGAAGAGGGTGCGTGTTGAGCCACACTCAAGGAACAGCAAGAAGGTGTGTGTGGCCGGAAGAGGGGGAACAAGGGGCGGGGGTAGCTGAAGTTAGAGGAGTGAGGGGAAGACACACAGATAGGGTGGAGCTGTAAAGTCCACTGAAAGGGCTGTGCTTATATTATTAGAGAAACAGGAAGCCCATGAAGGATTTTAGGCAGCGGTGACATGACGTGCCCTTTATTTTAAAAGGATTATCTAGCTGCTGTGAAAACTAGACTGCAAAGAGGAAAGGGAAGAAATAAAGAGGACCTGTATAAGGAATTTACTGCAAAAATTCACGCAAGAGAGGACACTGGCTCAGACCAGAGGGAAAGCAGTGGAGCTGATGAGAAATGAGTTGACTCTATACATTGTGAAGATCAAACTGAAAGGATTTGCTGACAGATCAGTTATGAAATGTGAGAGAGGGGAGTCCCAAATAACTCCAAGAGTTTTGGCTGAGCAACTGGAAGAATGGAGATGCCACTGACCAAGAGAGGAAAACTAAAGGAGGAGCGAGCAGGCTTATAGGTCGGGAGTGTCTTAGAAGTGTTAGGTTTGAGGCGTCTGTTAGATATCCAAGCGAATACAATACAAATGTATTGCCTAGGTTAAAAAAATAAATAAATTGATGTCTGTCAAGAAAACAAAGTAGTTTCTACTGATGATTGAAAATGTCAATGTCTCAATTTCCACTGACTTCCTAACATGGCACCAGAGGTTCACTATTTAAAAGGATCCCAAACTTAATGTAAAGAAAGATATTGTTGGCTGGACAGAAAACGTAGAGAACACAAGTCACCCACATATCCTCTAACCCAGTTATCAGATCTCTGATGGTTCTTTCATGGAAAAGCAGCAAAGGCTAGAGTTGTAGAGAGGACACTTACTGCTGAGGATGTAGAGAAGACCGGGGGGAAGGGTATGCCTGTGTCCAAGGGGGTTTGAGGAAGCTTTCCGGGCCCGGAGTGAAGGAGGTCTCGAAGGCTAGAGCCTTCGGTTTTGTTGTTGGAGGCAGTGGGACCCAGTAACAGACTGTTAAAAAGCTTTGGAGTCAACGGAGAGACTTTTGCAGTGGAGTTGAACGAGTCCAGCCCAAAGGGTGAGTGAGACTCTTTACTGAGCACCGACCTCAGGGACCCTGCTTCTGTAAGAACATAACCGGGAATAGCATTAGGCACAATAAGGAACACCCAGCAGGCAAATGACTCCTAAAAATCAGCCAACTGGGAAGGAGGAAAGACTCACCCCTCCCCTGCCCCCCAAACTACGTACGGTTTGTCTGGGCCAAGCCTGATGAGCTATGACTATGGTAGGTCTCATGGCCAAGGAGAAGCTCTCCTACTTCTTCCTTCCTTTTCCAGATCTGGATTTCAAACTTCCTTTTGTTCCCATCCATCTTTCGTCTCCCTCACTTTCTAAGACAGTGTTTCTTCAAGTGGGTCTCCAGAACACATGTATTGGAATCACCTGGAGTGCTTGTTAAAAATGGAGATTCTTGGTCTTACTCTAAGAGATCCTCATTTAATAGTTCTGGTGGGGCACAGAAATCTGCATTTTCAACGATTCCCCAGGTGATTCTTGTGCCCATTGAAAACTGTCTAGCTCTCAACCCCAGCTGCATAACAGAGGTATCTGGGAAGTTTATTAAAAATCTCACATCAATTCTGACTAGAGGTCTGGGGTAGAGACCAGGCATGTGTTTTTTAATAAAAAGCTCCACTTCTAGAAAGAAAGCAAAGAGATTCCCTCCCTTTATGTGATCAGCCAGAGAAAGCAAGTGGCATGTTTCATAAATGCAGATGGTAATGTGTGAACCTGAAGAATCCAAGAATAAACTCAAGTGCTCCACCCACAGGCAGGGCAGAGGCTTCTGTGCATCTCACCTTTTGTTTCTTCTTTAGCTTTCTGAGTTGCTAAATCCGCCAACCAGTGCAGGGCAGAGGAGGGTGGGGCCGTGTCAGGGCAAGGGGGCCTGATGGCTTTTAGCTCACTATTGCTGTTTGATGCCAAACTGTCTGCTTTCGGAGGCTCGTCGGCTCTGATGTCAGTGCTGTCGGCTTTGGGATCGGGCTCTGGAGTTGTTACCGCTGCAGTTCCTCCTCCACCTGAGAAGGTGGCTTCACTTCCAGAAGAGGCACTAGGGTTTATGCTAGGAAGCTAAAGCACAGAAGGCCAACATGGTCAGAGTGCTGTCTTTGTGGAACAAAAGTGATGCCTACACAGACCCATTTAGTTGACACTAAATAGGTCTGGGAAAACAATCTGAAACTATCCCATAAATTGTACATTCAGTCATTCATTCAACATATATTTATTGAGTCCTACAATGTGACAGAAACTGCTACGTTCTGTGGAAAGAGCAGTGAACAAGACTTGAAAATAAAACAGGGTTTTGTTTAGCAATCTCTGAGGCTCAAATTCAGCAATGGCAAATTGGTGATCAAAACTTGACCTCACTGAGCTGTTCTGAAGATTAAATGAGATAGTATATGCAGAGAGCTTAGCATATTTTCTGGCACACATAAACTCAATAAATGTTTATTATTCTATTATTGAATTTTCCACATGATTTTACTCTAATATGGCAACTCTACTGAAAATATATCTTTAAAAAATTTTTTAAAAATATAACTTTATTAATTTTAGAGAAAGGAAGGGAGAGGGAAAGAGAGGGAAACATCAATGATGAGAGAATCATTGATCGGCTGCCTCCTATATGCCCCCCTATAGGGATTGAGCCCACAACCCGGGCATGTGCCCTGACCAGGAATCGAACCTCAATCTCCTGGATCATAGGTCAATGCTCAACCACCGAGCCACGCTGGCAAGGCTGAAAATATATCTTGAGGTCCCTCAGCATTAATCCCTGAGTTTCTTATTGACCATGTGTTAATAGTAGCATTCCTGGAAGGGCCTCCAAATGTAAGCTGTTAGCTGTGTAAATGTGTGAGTGTGTATTTTTTAAAAAAACAAAAACAGCCTCTTGTTCAAAATAGTCACAATCAAGCAAGAATGCCCTCTACCTCTGACACAGCAATGAGAAAGCCACTGACTTTCTTGAGGCTGGGGATTGCTTTCAGGGTAGAATGATCCCAGCTCAGCAGGCCAATCTTCATATCTTTGTCCCCTGTACCAACATAAGGACAGTAACCATGCACACAGAGAGAACTATAGTTCTAGTAACCTTTTCTATATTCTTCACCTACACTGGACTCTAAGGTATAAATCTTGACAAGATGCAAAGACTCTCTTAGTGCTATATGTCAATTAAAACCTGAATTGGTTTTAAAGATGAATCAAGACAAACTTGTACCAGTCAGGGGAAAATCCCTTGAGTAACTCCTCCTAAGCTCATTCTAAAAATGCTTCCCTCTCTCCTAATTCCCCAGGAATCCTATAGTAGCCTGGAACAACAGAGATAAAAATGGGGCATTTCTTGGTACTAAGAACTTAAGTTTCACTCAGTTATACCCACACACACCACTTTACCTGTGATATCCCATTGGTGACAGCAGGTCTCAACACAGATTTGTTTTGCCGACTAATACAAGGACAGTTTGCTTTAATTCCCCACTTGCCCCGGGCAGCATGTACCATATCTCCAATATTATAAAGAGCTGGAAAAAAGACAACCATATTAACAATTAACATTAGAATGCCCATATGTTCCAGGTACTGTGCTAAAGACCTTAAATTGTTTACTTCAATGTTGAAGAGTATGTGAACACTGTTTTTGTTTTTTTTTAAAAAAAATGTTTTTATTGATTTTAGAGAGAGAGGAAGGGACAGGAAGAGAGAGAAATATCACTGTGAGAGAGAAACATCAATAGGTTGCCTCCCACACCCACCCTGACTGGGGACCGAACCCACAACCTGGGCATGTGTCCTGACCAAGAATTGAACCAGTGGACCTTTTGGTGCACAGGACAACGCTCAATCAACTGAGCCACAATGGCCAGGGCAACATTTTGAAAAGTACACTTGAAATTTATGTACTGTAAGTTACACCTAAAAAAAACCCCAAAAAACTAGAAAAAGTGAGGAAAAAAATAAAAAAGGCCAATGTAAACTTTACACAAACCTTTAATTAATGCTTGGAAAAGCAGGAAGCAGGCATCCTGCCACTGCACTCAGGGAGCCCTTGTGTTTGGAAGCACTGGGGTAAAGAACACAGGGATACGCCTCCACCCCCCAAGCTTTCTTTTGTTAAGGCAGTCATTTTGCAGATTCACCATCTTTAATGCATTGTTAGTGGAAGTGCGCAAGCTGGGAACAGACTGACTGGAGGAATCAATGAAGTAAACTAGGGCTATGACACAAACATGAAATTATTCCTACTGTTAAACTTCCTTCGTGGATTCAAGAGGTTTGGATTAGCTTCAGCTGGATTTTTACAAGCCTAAAACCAAAGGTCTGAAAGCATGGGACTGATCCTGCCAACCATAGGAATGTAAAATGATATGTGGAAAAGTAACCTCTCCAACCAGAAAGGTGAAGCAAAGTGTATGCAGTGGCTGCATACACTCTAACACCTCTCTAAAGATTCAACGTCTCAGAGAAATCTGGGAAAGCTTAAAAAAATATCAGACTGACTATTTCACCAACTTTATGATGTATAAATTCTTTCTCTAAACATTTTCCCCCTCACCAAATCTATAAAGGGAATTTCCTTACCTGTGCCAGGGATGATCTGTGTGGGCATTAGATTTTCTGGTTCATGGGACTGTCCCTTTGCACATTTCAACCAGGAGAAAACCTCTTCATCACCCATCTCTTCTGTTTCTGAAACAAATGAAATGCCTTCACTTATTTTATGAGGTCACAAGATATATCTCTCTCAGTGAGTCGGAGTTTCAGACCTTAAAGGCCAATTTTGTCATGGGCCAAAGAAGATTAATAACTAACTTTCGCTGATATATAATTTATACACAATAAATTCACTGATTCAAAGTGCACTTCAATGAATTTCAACAAATGTATATGGTTGTATAAACACTACAATTTGATATAGAACATTTTCATCTCCCTTTCTGAAGTTCTCTTGAGCCCTCTGCAGTCAATACCCCTTTCTCAACCCCTTGCCACCGCTAATCAACTTTCTAATACTAAGGTTTCGCTTTTTCTAGAATTTCATATAACTGGAAGCATACAGTATGTAGTCATTTGTGCTGGGTTTCTTTCATTTAGCATCATGATCTTGAGATTCATCCATACTGTTGCATGTATCAGTAATTCATTCCTTTTGGTGGCCGAGTGGTATTCCAGGGTATGTATGGATGTACCGTATTTTTTACCCATTCATCAGCTGGTGGACATTTAAATTGTTTCCAATTTTTGGCTATTATGAATAAAGCTGCTATAAATATTCAAGTACAAGTCTTTGTATGGGCATGTTTTAATTTCTTTTATAAATACCTAGAAGTGAGATGCTGGGTCTTATGTTAAGTTTATGTTGAAATTGATAAGAAACTGCCTATTGTTTTTCAAAGTGATGGAAGCAATTTGCATTCCTATTAGCAGTGTTTAAGATTTCTAGTTCCTCCACATCTTCACTACACTTGGTACTGTGTTTTTAAAATTTTAGCCATCCTGCCTGGCCGGGCGCGGCTCAGCGGTTGAGCGTGGACCCAGGATCCAGAAGATTGGGGTTTGATTCCCGGTCAGGGCACATGCACGGGTTGTGGGCTCGACCTCCAGTCACGGGTGTGCAGGAGGCAGCCAATCAATGACTCTCTCATCACTGATGTTTCTCTCTCTCCCCCTCTTCTTTCCTCTCTATGAAATCAGTAAAAATATATTTAAAAAAAAAAAATTTTAGCCATCCTAGTGGGAATAGTAGTTTGTCATTATGGTTTTTATTTGCATTTCCCTAATAAGTAATGATTTGTTTTTTATGTGCTCCTTTTCCAGTGATCTATCTTTTTTGATAAAGTATCTATTCAAATTGTTGGCCTGTTCAAAAACTGGGTTGATTTGACTTCTTGTTACTGAGTTGTAAAAGGTCTTTATTTCCTTTAGCAAATATGTGATAGACAAATCTTTTCTCCCAGTCTCCATATAAATGATCACGTCACTTGAGACCAAAAACCATTTTACTTCCTTTTGATGTATATGCCTTTCATTTTTTTGGTTATGCTTTTGTCTTCTATATCTTCATGCTGACTAGTAACTCCACTACAATGTTGAATGGAAGTTCTGAAAAGTAGATATCCTTACTTTGTTCCTGATCTCAAGGAGAAAATTATGTAAGATGTTCCTATCTATACCAGTTCACTGTTTTTCTACCTTTCTTTTTTTTAAAATGTTTTTACTGGGAGAGGAAGAGAGAGAGAGATAGAAACATCAATGCTGAGAGTCATTGATTAGTCACCTCCCACATGCCCCTACTGGGGATGGAGCCCGCAACCTGAGCATGATCAACCTGCGATCTCCTGGTTCATGGGTCTACACCCAACCATTGAGCCACGTTGGCCAGGCCCTACCTTTATTTCTTCATACCACCTTACCCCTGCCAGAGAAGCTTTTTAGATTTTTTTTTTTGGGGGGGGGGGG